ATCAGAGAGGGAGAAATTATTATTTGCACCACTTCTTTCAACTTCTGCTGTAAAATATATTTTTATTAAAAAAAATACATGTAGATTGTCCCTGGTTTTCTTGCTGCCTTCTAATCTTTTTATATACTGTATATCAAATAAAAGCCAAACAAACAAACACCTTCTGGAATAATTGAGTCTCTTTATGTCTCCACTGAGAAATTTTAGGGTCAGCTATTTTTCAGCCCTGTTGAGGGACCCAGACGGCAGGAATATTTAGATCATTCATGCTGAGCTAGAAATGATACTGAACATAACAAAATTCACTAACTGATGTGGTCAGGAAAGCAGTTCAGAGCACAGTTTACAACTATAGTTAGGGAACTTTTTCTTGTTTAAGTAGCAGAACCTTTCTTAACAATTTCAAGTGCCCTTCTTTCCATTTGAGGTGAAATACTAATATGAGCTAATCTGTAAATTTAAAGTGAGACTCAACATATTTTTACATGACCTCATATCCCCTTGATTTCCCTGGAACTCACCTGCAGCTTTGCAGAGCAGTTCATCCTTCATGCACCTGTGTCTCAATGTCCTAAGGCTTTATCTAGCCACAGGGATGTTCGTGACTGTCTCACAGAAGAGGCAGGCTGTAAGCCTGAGGGTAAGGATGATTGATGTTCAATGCCCCAGGAGCAGTCCCCAACCAATGAGGCTGGGGAGTTGTTAGATAAATATGACCACTTCCTCACTCCACAATGGGATGATTATGAGGTATCTTCTACAGCAGACTGTCAGAGTATCCCCTAAAAATTAACTTCAATTGCCTCTAGCCAACAAATGCAGCCTTTATTAGTTTCCCACCATTCCTATCTCACTTTCCCACTCCCTCACTGGCTGCCTAGGATCACCCCTTAAAGAAGCTATCTGTACCCAAATCCTTGTCTCAGTAACCACTATGACAGGAACACAATTAAGGGAATAGTGTGCTGGTACAAAGGTTTTGTACATTAGATATCTTAGACCTGTGCTAGTTAATATGGTTGCCACTAGCCATGGGCAGCTATTCAAAATTAAATATAAGTTAGCTCTGGCTATATAGCTCAGCTGTTTACAGCATTGTCTGATATGCCAGAAATGTATGTTTAATTCCTGGTCAGATCACATATAAGAATCACTGGGTGGGGGGTAGGCTGGGGTGGGAATAAAAAACAGAAAACTGTACTTGAATAATAATTAAATAAATTTTAAAAAATAAAATAAAATATAGAGATAAAAATGAAAAAAAATAATCAAGCAATGAATACATTACTTAGTGGAAGGACAAATCAATGTTTCTCTTTCTCTCTCCTTTCTTCCTTCTCTCTAAAATCAATAATAAAATGTTTAAATTAAATTAAACATAAATTATTATATTAAATAAAATTAAAAATTAGTTTTCTCAGTTCCACTAGCCATATTTCAACAGCTCAGTAAGCCATATATGGTTAATGACTATGGTAGTGAACAGCAAAGATATAGAATCTTTTCATCACTGCAAAAAGTTCTACTGGATGGTGCCTGCCTAGGATTAATCTCAGATTGATAGGGATTGGTTTCTTCCGATTCATTATTTAGGCAACTTATTTTTTACTGGAAGACTCAATTTGTACATCTATAAAATAGGACTGAGGTTAATAGTATAATTTATGTTAAATTATAAGTGTTCAATAGGGTCTCCTCTCAAAACAGCAGAATAGATAAATTCTGTGCTCACTTTCTCCCAAAACTACTTTAAAATTACAACTAAATTTTAGAACAACTATCACTGAGAACCACCAGAAGACTAGCAAATAGAAGTTCTATAACTAAGGATGTAAAAAGAAGCCACATTGAGACTGGTAGGAGGAAGGGGAAATAGAAGTGGTAGGTACCACATTCATGGTGTGACAATTAAGAAACAGGAGAGATATCTCAGCTGCAGAGGTTCCCCCTGAGGAGTGAGGATGACAGTCCCAAACTGGAGCATCAGTGTGGGGAAGAGAGTCCTATAACTTCTGGCTATGAAAACCAGTGGGGATTGTGTCTGAGAAAGACAAAAAACTTTTGGAAACCCAGGTGCTACTCTTAAAGGACACAAACTCACTCTCTCAAAGGTCAAGGTTGGGCAGGAACCTAAGAAGTACAGGAACTAAATTGACTAACTTTTGTGTGAGGGCTGGAGAGGCAAGGATCTGGGCCACTGCAGGGCTGGAAGTACCAGCAGGAGCCATTGTTTCATTGTTGAGCTTTCCACCCACCAAGCCAGCCCAGCACAGGTGGACATGAAATCTGAGCTTTCCATGAACCTAGCTAACAACATTAACTCCACCCTGGTGATTCTCTGAGATCATGCCCCTCCCAATGAACTGCCTGGCCCAGCATCTTCCAGTGGTTCCTTAACTTGAGCAACCTGCCTCTGCTCATGCTACAGACTCACTCAAAGGACAGTAAACCTTAAACAACTTTTGACTACCCTAGACTTGAGCTGCAGACTTTCTCAAAGATACACAAATCCACACAAGCAGTGGCCAGGCTAACTGTGCATGATAGCTCTCTCAAAGTGACCCCAACCCCAGCATTCTGAAAGATCACTTAGTAGATCTTATCAGGCAGCCCCAAGACCGACACACAGTGACCCACCTTGGCCAGCATGGAAGCCACTCCCATGAGGCTCCAAACCTAATAAACCCCCTGGCCATCTTCAGATTACACCAGAACCCTACTCAAACAGCTCCACAAACAATGTGCAAAAAGTGGACTGAGCTGGGAGCAGAATCTCACTAAAGTAACTGTTGCTCTAAGGGGTCAACCCTTTCATAAAAGTTCATCCTTTTCAGTCACAGCCAGCCTCAACAGCCAGTCAACCTGAGGGCCAATCACATACATTAACAACAGCTCTCAAGACCCAGCTACAACAGAAGGGCACACACAGTCCACACAATCTTCAAGGGGACCCCCATTGAGGACCCAACTCAGGTAACCAAGGAGATTGCCCTAATAAGCCCCACAGGACACCTTCCACATAAGGCAACTCTATCAAAGACCATAAGACATAGCAGATTTCCCTAGTACATAGAAATGAATACAAGGAGGCAGCCTAAATGAGGAAACCCCCCAAAAATGTCCCAAATAAGATAACAGGACAAAATCATAGAAAAAAAAACTAAACAAAATGAGGACAAGCAATTTACCTGATACAGAGTTTGAAACACTGGTCATTAGAATGCTTAATAAATTTAGAGGAAGAACAGATGATCTTAGTAAGAATTCCAACAAAAAGATAATATGAAAAGGCAAATAAAAAAAATTAAAAAAGAACCAGTCAATTCTGACTTGTGTGATTCAGTTGGTTAGAGCATTACCCCATAAACTGAAAGGTGACAGATTCGATTCCCGGTCAGGGCAAATGTCTAGGTTGCAGGTTTGGTTCCTAGTTGGGATGCATACAAAAGGCAACTGATTGATATTTCTCTCTTAAATCGATGTTTCTCTCCCTTTCTCCCCACTGTTTCTCTCTTTCTAAAATAATCAATGAAAAAAAAAAAGTCCTCAGCTGAGGATAAAAAAAGAACCAGTCGGAACTGAAGAATAAAATAATAGAAATGAAGAATACCCTATAGAGAATCAAGAGCAGATTAGATGAAGCAGAAGATTGAATCAGTGATCTGGAAGACAAAGTGACGAAAATACACAACCAGAACACCAAAAATATAAAATAAATTTAAAAATGAGGATAGTTTAAGGAACCTTTGGGACAATATCAAGTGTACCAACATGTGCACTATAGGTGTCCCAGAAGGAGAATAGAGAAAGAGACTGAAAACCGTTTTAAAAAGTAATGAAAAACTTCCCTAGCCTGGTGATGTAAAAAAACATATGAGCCAAGGATATGCAGAGTCTCAAACAATATGAATGTAAAGAAGCCTTCAGCAAGACACACCATAATTAAAATTTCAAAGGTTAAGGACAAAGGGAGGATTTTAGAAGTAACAGTAGAAAATCAGTTAGTTACACATTAAGCAGTTCCTATAAGATTGACAGCTGGTATTTCAACAAAACTTTTCAGGATAGAAGGAAATTAGATGCAATAAAGATGATGAATGGAAAAGCCTTCACCAAGACTGCTCTAACCACCAAAATTATAATTCGAATAGAAACAAAGGTGAAAAGTTTCCCAGACAAGAAAAAGCTAAAGGAGTTCACCACTAAATTGGTATTACCAAAAAATGTTAAAGGGATTCTTTTAAGTAGAAAAGATAAAAAAACTCTATAAGTAAGAAAAAAATAGGAGAGAAAAAAGTTTTTAGTGACAAAGGCAAACACTTAGTAGAAGCAACATAAACACTTAGTATCAACCTATTAAAATGCAAGTAGAAGGGTCACAACATTAAAAGGAAGATCATGCATAATTGCAACAATAAATTAATGGATACATACACACAATAGTGAAAAATATAAATGTAGAGGGGATAAGTAAAAATGGTAGAGATTTTAGAATGTGTTTGAACTTAAAGAACAACCATCTTACAATAGACTGCTATAAAATTGGTCATATTTATATGAAGTACATGGTAACCACAAACCAAAAATTTATAAAGATATACAAGAAATAAAGGGAAACTAATTCAAACCTAACACTATAGGAAGTCATCAACATACAAGAGAAGAGAGCAAGAGATATAAGAAAAGAGAGCAATAAGAAAGGAATAGAGAACTACAAAAACAATCAGAAAAGAAAGAACAAAATGGTTATAGCTACTTAACTACCAATAATTACTTTAAATGAAAATGGACTAAGTGCTCCAGTCAAAAGACAGATTGAATGGTTGAAAAACCAAGGCTTGGACATATGCTGCCTAGTAGAAATCCAGTTCAGATTGAAAGATACATAAACTGAGGGTCAAGGGATGGAAAAGATATTTCACACAAGTAAAAACAAACAAACAAAAAAGTAGAGTAGCAATACTTACATCAGACAAAATAGTCTTTAAAACAAAGTAAGAGTGCTTGCTTTGGCAGCACATATACTGAAACTGGAATGATAAAGAGAAGATTGGCATGGCCCCTGCACAAAGACGATATGCAAATCCATGAAGCGTTCCATTAAAAAGAGAGAGAGAGATAGAGACAAAGGAGGACACTACATAATAATAAGGGATTAATCCAACAGGAGGATATAAGTCTTATAAATATATGCACACCCAATGTGCACCTGAATATATAAAGCAAATATTAACAGACATAAAGGGAGAGATCAACAGTGACACAGTCATAATAGATAATTTTAACACCCCACTGACATTAATAGATTATTCAGACAGAAAATCAATAAGGAAACAGTGGCCTTAAAAGATACATTAGATCAGATAAAATTCATTGGTATTCTTAGGAAGTTTTACCCGCAAGAAGAAGAATGTACATTCATTTCAGGTGTGCATAGAACATTTTCTAGGAATAGCAACATGTTAGGCCACAAAACAAATCTCAATAAATTTAAGAAGATTGAAATCATACCAAGCTACTTACCAAATCACAGTGCTATAAAACTAGAAATCGATTACAAGAAAACTGAAAAAACCCATAAACATATGGAGTTTTATGTTTATGGGTTTTTAACCCATACTGGGTTATAACCCCATATGGGTCATTTAACCCCATATGGGTTATTTAACCCTAAATAACATGGTACTAAACAATGAATAGGTTTACAATGAAACCAAGGGAAAAGTCAAAATATACTCTAAGAAAAATGAAAATGAAAACACAATGATTCAAACTCTATGGGACACAGACAAAGCAGTTAGAAGGGGGATATTTACAGCAATTCAGGCCTATCCCCAAGAAACAAGAAACATCTCAAATAAACAATCTAATCTTATACTTAAAAGAAGTAGAGAAAGAAGAACAAAGTGCAAAGTGGATAGAAGGAAGGAAATAATAAAAATCAGAGTGGAAATAAACAAAATAGAGTTAAAGAAATCAATAGAAAAGAACACTAAAACCAAGAGCTAGTTCTTTTAAGAAAGGTAACCAAAATTTTTCTGGCTGGGTGGCTCAGTTAGTTGGAGTAATGTCCAATATACAAAAAGGTTGTGGGTTCAATCCCTGGTCAGGACACATACCCAGGTTGGGAGTTTGATCCCTGGTAGGGGCATGTGCAGGAGGCAAACAACCAATGTTTCCCTCTGACTTTGATGTTTCTCTATGTTTCTTCCTTTATCTCTCTTAAAAATCAATAAACATACCATCAGATAAGGAATAAATAAACAAACTGGTAAACAAAATTGATAAAACGTTAGGCAGAATGAAGAAAAAAGACAGGATTCAAATAAGTAAAATTGGAAATGAAAGAGGAAAGTGACAACTGACACCATAGAAATGCAGAGAGAATTATGAGAAAATACTGTAGACAATTACATGCCAACAAATTTAACAATCTGGGAGAAAAGAATATATTTCTAGAAGCATACAATCTTCCCAGACTGAATGAAGAAGAAACAGTAAATCCGAACATACTATAACTACTAATTAAATTGAGTTAATAATTTTTAAAAACTCCTAACAAACAGCCCTGGCTGGTATAGCTCAGGGGACTGAATGTGGGCCTGTGAACCAGAGGATCACAGTTTGATTCCCCGTCAGGGCACATGCCTGGGTTGCAGGCCAGTTCCCAGCAGGGGATCCACAAAAGGCAACCATACATTGATATTTGTCTCCCTCCATACATCGATATTTGTCTCCCTCTTCCCTTCCCTTCCCTTCCCTTCCCTTCCCTTCCCTTCCCTTCCCTTCCCTTCCCTTCCCTTCCCTTCCCTTCCCTTCCCTTCCCTTCCCTTCCCTTCCCTTCCCTTCCCTTCCCTTCCCTTCCCTCCCTCCCCCTCCCCTCCCCTCCCCTCCCCTCTAAAGATAAATAAATGAAATCTTAAAAAAAAATCTCCTAACAAACAAATGTCTTGTACCCTTCCCTCCCCTCCCCTCCCCTTCCTTCTAAAGATAAATAAATGAAATCTTAAAAAAAAAAAAAAAGCTTCTAACAAACAAATGTCTTGTACCAGCTGGTTTTACAGGTGAACTTTTTCAGACATTCACAGAAGAATTAGTACCTATCTTTCTAAACTGTCCCAACAAACTGAGGAGGAGGGAAGGCTTTCCTATTCATTTTATGAAGTTTGAATCATGAACTTATGAAGTTTTATTAACTCAGTCCTGATAATAAAACCAAACAAATACACTAAAAAAATTATTGGCCAATATCCCTGATGATCAGAGATGCAAAAATTCTCAATAAAATATTAACAAATCAAATTCAGCAAAACATTAAAAAGATCATGTTAGTTGGTCCAAAGGTTGTGGGTTATTGTTAAGCAGATTAAAAAGATCATGCAAAATGAACAAGTAGGATTTTTTTCCCTGGACCACAATATCAACAAAAAAATCAGACTGACACATCACATAAACAAAATGAAGCATAAAAATCATATGATCACACCAATTGATGCAGTGAAAGCATTTGACAACATCTAACATTAATTTACAATAAAAATTCTGAGCAAAGTGTATGTAGATGGAGTATACCTAACATAATAGAGACCATCCATAACAAGCACATAGTTAAGATCATACTCAATGGTGAAAAATGGAAACCTTTTTCTTTTGCTCAGGGACAGAGAATTATGTACACTTTCACCTCTTTAATCAACATAATATTGGAAGCCCTAGCTGCAGCAATCAAATAAAGAGAAAAAGAAAAATTGATAAAAGACATCCAAATTAGAAAGGAAGAAGTAAGTCTGTCACTATTTGCAGTTAACATATATAGATAACTCTAAAGATTCAACCAAAAAAAGATTAGATTAAATGAATTCAGTAAAAATATAAAATTCTTATTCAGATATAAGTTGCATTGTTATACACCAACAATGAACCATCGGAAAGTGAAATTACAATATTATGAAAAAGAATAAAATACCTAGGAATAAATTTAACTAAGGAAGTAAAAGACTTGTACTCAGAAAACTACAAGACATTGTTACACAAGGGAATACTGCACTGCAGAAAGAAGGAAGGATCTCCTACCCTTTGCAACAGCATGGATGGAATTGGAGAGCATTATGCTAAGTGAAATAAGCCAGGTGGTGTGAGACAAATACCATATGATCTCACCTGTAACTGGAACCTAATCAACAAAACAAACAATCAAACAAAATGTAATCAGAGACATTGAAATTAAAAACAAACTGACAGTAACCAGAGGAAAGGTCAGAGGGGAAAATGGGGGTGGGGAGGGAGAAGGGTTTTTAGGAACTACTCTAAAGGACACATGGACAAAACCAAGGGTGGGGTGGGATCAGGGGAGGAAGATGGGGATGGCTGGGGTGGGGGGAAATGGAGACAACTGTACTTGAACGAAAATAAAGAAGTTAAAAAAAGAAATCTATAAGACATTGAAAAATATTAAAGAAGATGCAAATAAGTGGAAGCACACACCACGCTCATGGATAGGAAGAATTAACATTGTTCCAATGCCCATAATACACAAAGAAAAATACAGATTAAATGCAATCCCTAAAAAAATGGCAGTGTTCACAAAACAAATAATCCTAAAATTTACACAGAACCACCAATGACCCACAATAGCCATGGGAATTTCAAAACACAAGAACAAAGTTGCAAGTATAGTGCTATCTAATACCAAACTACACTATAGGACTACAGTTATCAAAACAACATGATACTGGCATAAAAACAGACACATAGATCAGTGAAACACAATAGAGAACCCAGAAATAAACCCATACCTATATGGTCAATTAATCTATAACAAAGTAAGCAAGAATCTACAATAGGTAAGAACAGTCTGTTCAAGGAATGAGGTTGGGAATACTGGACAGACACATGCAAAAGTGAAACTAGATCACTTTGTTACACTATGTAAAAAATAAACTAAAAATGGATCAAATACTTAAATGTAAGGCCTGAAACCATAAAACTCCTAGAAGAAAACATAGGCAGTAAACTCTCTGACATTGCTCTTAGCACTATATGTAGATTTTTGAAATGTCTCTCCAGGCAAGGGGGAAACAAAAGAAAAATAAACAAATTAGACTATATTAAAATAAAAAATACCATCAACAAAGTGAAAATACAACCTACTGAATGGGTGAAGATATTCATCAATGACACATCTGATAAAGGGTAAAATCCAAAATATATAAGGAACACATATGACTTAAGGCCAAAAAACAATCCAATTTAAAAATTGGCAGAGGACATGAACAGACACTCCTCCCAAGAAAGCACACTAATGGCCAATATATATATGAAAAGATGCTCAACATCACTACTCATCATGGCAATTCAAATTAAAACTACAATGAGATATTACTTTGACAGAAACAAGTGTTGATGAGAATGTTGAGAAAGCAACTCTTGTGCTCTGTTGGTGGGATTGTAAACTGATATAAAACTCTGGGAAAAACAATATGGAAGGTTCTCAAAAATTTAAAAATAAAACTATCTTCTGATAAACAATTCAACTTCTGGGTATTTATCAGAACACTTAAATATTAACTAGAAAAGAGCTATGCACCTCCATGTTCATTGTAGCATTATTTACAATATTCCTGATATGGAAGTAATCTAAGTGTCCACCAACAGACAACTAGCTAAAGAAAATGTGGTACATATATACAATGGAATATTATTCAGCCACAAAAATTAAAGAAATATTACCGCTTGTGATAGCACTGATTGACCCAGAGACTATTGTTCTAACTGAAATAAATCAGACAGAGAAAGACAAATATCATTTCTCTTCTATGTGGAATCTAAGGAACAAAATAAACAAAACAGAGAATCATAGAAAACAGATTGATGGGTGCCAGAGGGGAGGGAGTTGGGGGACTGGGTGAAAAAGACAAAAAGATTAAAGAGTACATATTAGTAGTTACAAAATAGATATGGGGATGTAAAAGCCTGGGGAATATAGTCAATAATATTGTAATTACTTGGTATGGTGTCAGGATGGTACCAGACTTATTCAGTGATCACTTCAAACATTATGTAAATGTCTAATCACTATATTGTATACCTAAAACTAACATAATATTG